CCCTGATGGCTAGTACCAGTAATTGACATGCCTGCACTGTCCCAGGAGAGGAATCTTCGCCCATCACATACCAGAGGTGCCCATTGTCTGCATTTTCCCAGGTGTAAATTATGCTTTGCACCCTTCGTGGGAAACTTGGCATTCAAAGCCATTTTTCCTAATTGGCCACTTGAGACCAGGAAGAAGCCTACATGATCAAAGGGGTATAAAGAGGGGTTTAGTAGCCCACCCCATTTGAGCGCCAATCATCTACACCTGCTGGCAGGCATTGATTGTCTCCCGAGGTCTGTGGGACGCCCAACCTCGCCCTACTTCTTCCCGAGGGATTGAGAGAAAGACGCTGGCCACGCCAAGTCTGGAACGCAGGGGTGAGAATATACCTGCTAGGTGTCTATTTTGCATGCATTTAATAAGAGCTCAGAGAACCAAAAGGGTTTCATGGTACCTATAAGTGACTTATTAGTGTAATTTCTGTCCTGTCCTTTGTAGTGTCTGTGTTATCTGTAACACAGTAGTAGCATTTAACAGCTAAGTTTACCCTGTAACAATAAAATAGTAACTGTTTAAGCTTTAACCTGACTCCTTCAGTTGCTGTAACAGAACCAAGCACAATTTTAAAAGAACTTCAGCCGGTCATAAGGGACAGATATAGGGAGAGCTGGGGTGTTTTGGATCGTGTCACTTCCAGGGGACAGATCCGTTGGGGCACCTCTCAGCCTCCCCAGGCTGCCCGCTGCGAAGGGATTTCTGTATCCTAGCAGCTAAAATCTGAGGTGTTATAAGCTCTCCCTGTAAACTTATTGGGGCGCCCGTCAACCTCCTCCAGGTTCCCTGCTGCAAGGCACCCCGGTCTCAGCAGTTGACGTCTCGGGTGTATAGCACACACACACACCACTCACTGCCCTGACCATCAGTGGGCAGAATTGGGGCGCCTGTCAACCTCCTCCAGGTTGCCCGCTGCAAGGGACCCCGGTCTCGGCAGTTGAAGTCTCAGGTGTATAACACACACGCACACACTGCCCTGACCGTCGGCTGACAAAGAGGTACTAAAGCTCGCAGCAGGAGAGAAACAGCTGGCAAAGGAGATCCCTTTAAGCACGTGTCTCAAAGGAGCTCCAGCCCCGGCCCCCGGAAAGGGCTCGTGCCCCATTGCCCTCTCCAAAATGGTTCCGGGCTCCTGCTTTTGCGCAAGAGCGTCCCGCCAATGTAGACGCTCTCTTGTGCAAAAATGCAGCGCTTGGACAATAAGTCACGGCCAATATAGACGCTCTCTTGCGCAACTACTTTAACACAAGAACTCTTGTGCTAAAGAGTTTTTGTACAAGATCGCACCAATGTAGACGTAGCTTTAATGTGTGCCATGTTAATTTTGCATTGGTTTGCTTTCTCAATCAAGATGTTGTGCAGTACCAAATCAATTACCTTACAGAAGTGTTAATATAAAATACATGCACTATTACCTATAGCCTTGGTCACCAACCCGTCGATCGCGAGGTGTTCGGGGCTCCCCATTTTCTTCCACCCCCAAAAAGCCCCACTACAGCGACAATGGAGGTGGTGTCGGCTTCCTGCGGGGTGGACGGAAGTCCTGCAGTTGCGTGCCACTTTCGGGGGTTCCAGAAGTGCACTGGCTGCTCCCCTCCCCCAGGTCTGTGGCGTGCCGGGAACTTGCGAGGTGTGGGGGGAATCCCCAGAGGAGGCACGCGCCGGGGCTTCCCTCCTCTGCGGGAGCGGGGAGTCGTCCTCCGAGGAGGCACGTGCCGGGGCTTCCATCCTCTGCGGGAAGGGGGAGTCATCCCCTGAGGAGGTGAGTGCAGAGTCCCCTTCTCCACCTCCTCCTGCATCAAATTTCCTCCCAGAGCTTGCACCTGTCACCCTCTCCCACACCCAAATCCCTCAGGGTATGTCTACACTACAAAGTTAATTCGAACTAATGGACGTTAGTTTGAATTAACTTTGATAGGCGCTACACTAGCGCTCCGCTAGTTCGAACTTAATTCGAACTAGCGGAGCGCTTAGTTCGAACTAGGTAAACCTCATTGTACGAGGACTAAGCCTAGTTTGAACTTACTAGTTCGAATTAAGGGGTGTGTAGCCCCTTAATTCGAACTAGTGGGAGGCTAGCCCTCCCCAGCTTTCCCTGGTGG